GTATATACTACGTAAGGAAGAACCAGGATCAAGATCACGTTAGCGGGGTACTATATTTTTTCGACATCTGGATCGGAGATCTATCAGGACAAAACGCGATCGTGGGCATGGATTTCATGGTCCCAGCCGGTGTACGGATGCATCTCGCAGATGGATCGATGCGGTTACCTGATGAAGTGGGGATACCACTTAATGGTCGTAAGAGATTGTATGGCGAGAAGGTGGGATCGGTCATCCTCGAACGATCTCTACGAATCCCAGTCGGATAGTCGGAGGAAACAGATGTGCGAATAAAATTGTCGACTACAGAAAAGTTGTGGGTCACCAGAGGAGACCGATGGATAGCGACAGTTACGGAAGGTCCCGGTCGGATCTGCTACCTAGTGATCTCGAACATTGGAGATAGGATCCTACGACTAAATCACTGTCTGGACGTCGGCATGATACTGGACCAGGACAAAGTGCCCCGATCACCAGGGTTCGTGTCCGTCGGGTCACGTCCTTATCGGGAATTGAAGAATCTAGCTTTGCAATCGACGGTGCATACTAGATCGGACTCCCCGGAACCCATAGAGGACCTTGCGGAGCCGACAATACCACGACCGTCGTATCCCACACCACGGTCGATACTCCGCCGGCCGGAATCTGAAGAGATCGACAGAGATCGGTCATTGGTATCAACCCTGGAGTTTCGAGCGAGGGCGGGAATGGCCGACGCAACTCGGATTGAGGCAGAATTACCCAATCCGGGACTAGGACGCCCACCTACGCCAACGACTAACCCCGATCCAGATCAGTACCTGAGCGGCGATGCTGAGGGCGGCGGGATAAGTGAGAGCATGCCGGACCAGGCCACCGATCGGACGGGTACCAAAGATATCAAGACAGAGAATCGGACTGGCACCAAGGATATCGAGCCTAAAACGGAAGATCAAACCCAGATCCAACTCGATCAAGGCCAGATCAAACTCGATCCCGATGCAAAACTCCCGATCTGTCCTACTGACGGCGTCGAACAACGAGATCCGCCGGCACAAGGACCCGCAGCGACCACCTCACAACATGCCGAGGACGTACCACCATGACAGCGGCGATCTCTCAGCGGAAGATCTGAAAGGAAACTTGGCCGTCCTCCCCGAGATCCCGATCTCGACGAGCGCGAAGGTCAGCATCGAAGATCTGCAGGTGGGAGACTCTGGTTCTGCCACACCCGAGGAGATCGAGAGGCTCGGCAAATAATCTGGAAGAAACGACATCTTCTTATCGGCAAAGGGAACGCCTTACCACCGGCAGCCAAGGGCGTCGAATGAGATATCGATGTTGGAAACTCGAAACCGATCGCACTGCGAACCCGGAAAGTGCCCACGCGATTTCGCGAGAAAGTCGCAGGCCTGATCAAGGGCCTCCTGGCAGCCGAGATCATCCGACCCTCGACATCGCCATGGACCTCACCGATCATGATTGTCCGCAAGAGTAACAGGTTGTGCATTGACTACAAGTTGGTAAACAGCCTCACGAGATTGATGGTCTATCCTATGCTCCTGATCAGCTCTACTAGAAGATCTGGACAAAGCTCTATGGTACTGCTCGTTAGACATGGCCAGCGGTTTCTGGGTCGTACCCATGACGGATCGGGCTCGCGAGATCTCAGCATTTATCACTCCGTTTGGACTAATCGAATGGAGTCACATGCCTTTTGGTCTTAAGAATGCCCCGCAGATTTATCAGCGCCTCGTAGACAACGCGTCGTATGGAATTTTGAAGATCTCGCGGTAAGGCGACGCTAGCTACAACGGACGTGTTCCAGACCAGGATCGCGGACGATCCTGATCGCGAGTCGGTGTTAGGTCGGAGATCATACATCGACGACATCATGATCGGGGCGGAATCATGGGATCAAATGTGCCGAAGAGTGGAAGATCTGTTGGA